TTCTATTTCTTTCCAAGGAGACCGAGACTTCTATATTGATGTGACTGAAGTCTCTCTACAGAGTTCCTCTGGGGCCCTTCATGATAACTGTGAGTCCCTTCAGAGTGATACTGACATTTTCTGGAATGTCTGCAGTCTAATGTCTAAGAATTGTCTTCATTCTTGCAGTAGATGCAGCAAAGAGAATGCCTTAGTTCTTATCTTTCTTGACCTTTCTGTAGCATTTGACACAGCTGACTCACCCCTTCTTAAAAATGCACTCGCTTCCCTTGGCTTCGTAAGGTTTCATTCTCTCTCTTTATCTCCAGCCTCTGGACAAAGACCTTTCCTGACTTTTGTTTTGTTTTGTTTTTAAATGTGATTTGTTCTTTTCTCTTTTCTTGAGCTTCAGACTCACATGCACAACTGATTCTGCACAATTTCTCTGAGAACTTTCAAAAGACATTTCAAGTTCAATAAATTGAACATACTCTTTTCCACCCTTCTCAATTACAGATACTCTCTGGGCCATTATTATCCTGGCCCTAAATTTCTCTCTCTCTCCACTGGCTCCTATTTTGTGGTGTAAGTAACCACTGACCAACCAGATATCTAAGCATTTTTCTTCACTTTTCTTTGTCTCTCACTTTCTTCATTTATTCCATCACTGTGAACTACCTCCTAAATATTTTTCAAAGCCATTCACCACAAGCACAACAACTTCTACCCAAGTTCAGATGATTATCTCTCACCTTGTTCTCTCCAACAACCCTTCATTTATTTCATAGTCTCAGGTCTTGCTCCTTTCATAAATATAGGATTGGAAAGAAAAAACTTTCTAAGAACTGTTAGAAATGTAATAAAACTGTCAAAAGGGCTAAGTCTCAGTCTATTGTTTTGTGACAGTTTGTAAAAAAAATAACTTCAAAAAAATCCAGGTAAAAAATATGAAGCAAAATACAAACATTTTGATATGTTAACTGATAAATGACACTTCAATGACACTAACCTATGGAGGAAAAGACAATGATCAAATCTAAGTAATCTATGTATCAATAAAATTTTAAGCACACCATATGTTTTCAATTTTATTCTGCCTTCTGGAGCCAGAGGGAATCTTTCTAACATGCAAACTATGTCCCATCCCTTGCTCTACACCCTTCAGTGACTCCCTATTGCCCACAGAAGAAATTATAGACATCTTAATTTGGGTTCTAAAGGGCTACATGATTTGATCCCCACTTGTTTCTCTATACTAATAATCCTTTCACACTTTAGCTAAGTCAGTTTCTCAAATTCACCATGTTCTTTTCCTCCTTCAAAATTTGATTGATTAAAGCATTGCCATGCTAGTAAATGTTTAACAACTGTCTTTTGGGGGAGGGGAAGAGGGAGAGCCTTGATTTGCAGCATTGGATGCTTTCCATGGTGTATTCTTACCATGGCTATTATCAGGCTACCAATGTGATGTCACTGAACAGAAAGTTGGGAAGGAATGTGTACAGTGGGTCCCTAGAAAGTGGGGGCATGCTGCCTCTAGTACACCACTAGGCTAAATTGTACAAATCCTTTAGTTTCTGGCTCAATTGTCTTCTTCCCTAAAGATACTTTCTTGATCATGCCACATGCTTCCGTTGCTTCCTGTTCTTAGCCTGTTTGCACATTTATCACATGATATTGTAATTTCTGACTCTTCTTTGAGCAGCTCACATTAATAAATGAGAATTGGTTAAATTAAAAAGCTTCTGGGCCAGGTGCGGTGGCTCATGCCTGTAATCCTAGCACTCTGGGAGGCCGAGGTGGGTGTATTGCTCAAGGTCAGCAGTTCAAAACCAACCTGAGCAAGAATGAGACCCCGTCTTTACTAAAAATACAAAGAAATTAATTGACCAACTAAAAATATATAGAAAAAAATTAGCTGGGCATCATGGCACATGCCTGTAGTCCCAGCTACTTGGGAGGCTGAGGCAGAAGGATTGCTTGAGCCCAGGTGTTTGAGGTTGCTGTGAGCTAGGCCGACGCCATGGCACTCTAGTCCAAGCAACAGAGTGAGACTCTGTCTCAAAAAAAAAAAAAAAAAGGCAAAAAAGCTTCTGCACAGCCAAGGAAACAATCAACAGAACAAACAGACAACCTACAGAATGGGAGAAAATATTCATATGCTATACATCCGATAAAGGGCTAATAACCAGAATCTACAAAGAACTCAAGCAAATCAGCAAGAAAAAAATCAAACAGCCCCATTAAAAAGTGAGCAAAAGACATGAATGGAGCTTTTCAAAAGAAGATAGACTAATGGCCAATAAAGATAAGAAAAAAATGCTCAGTGTCACTAATCATCAGAGAAATGCAAATCAAAACCACAATGAGGTATCACTTAACCCCAGTGAGAATGGCTTTTATCAAAAAGTCCCAAAACAGTAGATGCTGGTGTGGCTGCAGAGAGATAGGAACACTTATACACCATTGGTGGGACTGCAAACTAGTGCAACCACTATGGAAAATTGTATGGAGATTTCTCAAAGAACTAAAAGTAGACCTATCATTTTATCCAGCAATTCTACTACTGGGTATTTACCCAAAGGAAAAAAAGTCATTTTATCAAAAAAACACTTGCTCTAGAATGTTTATTGCAGCACAATTCACAATCACAAAGATGTGGAATCAACCCAAGTGCCCATCAATTCATGAGTGGATTAATAAAATGTGGTATATATACACTATGGTGTACTACTTAGCTATAAAAAAATGAATCAATATCTTTTGTTATAATCTGGATGGGACTGGAGACCATCCTCCTAAGTAAAGTATTACAAGAATGGAAAAGCAAACACCATATGTACTCACTATTAAATTGGAGCTAACAGATCAACACTCATGTGCACAGATGGAAGTAAAACTCAATAAAGATCATGCAGGTGGGAGGGAGGAGGAAGGGATGGGTGAAATCATACCTAATGTGTACAGTGTACACCATCTGGGTGATGGGCACACTTAAAACTTTGACTCAAGCAGTACAAAAGCAATCCATGTAATCAAAACATTTGTACCCCGTAATATTAAAAAAAAAATAAGAGGGTAGGAAATTAATTGCCTACCTTAAAGGCAGAGTATTTATATAAATTACTTGGAATTTTTCTAAAGGGAAGATGTATCTATTTTCCTCCATTAATTTATTTACTATTCAATTTTAAGAGTATGGATGCATAGATATTTATTTTCTAATTTTGGGATATAGTACCTTTATCTTGTTGCTCAAATTGTTCCAGCTTTGACCATTAGAAGCTCATTTAGTTGATTTCCATGTCCCTTTGATGTGGCCCATTGTTGTGTTTTTTAAAGCACTTCCTTACTTTCTGGTACTACTAGATGCTCCAGGCTCACGTGGTATATTTCCTGCCCCAGTTCTGAAATCAGCCATTCATCCAAGATGCCCTTGTTACATTTATTGAAGAATGGTATTAGAAACCAAGATTTGGGATCTAGGTAGGCTTGTTGCTACTGCAGTGTCAGTACAACTAGGTTCTCTCAGCTGACAGAGCAAGAGATTAGATGTGTATATACTAACCCCTTAATGTATGTATATCTACAAATATTTCTATGTGTAACCATCTGTATCTATATTATGTAAAATATGTGTTCATACAGATGTTCTGCAACTCTATTATCACATGGATCATTTTAACTACCACCCTTTGCTTGTCTGTAACCTCACACTCCAACAGCGAGAAACATGGTTCTCATTATCCACCATATTTACTTAATTCTTCAACTCCAATATACATGTATAGTGATTTCAGAATTGTCAATCCATATCCCCATGGAAACAATTTTATCTATGAGAGTAGAATGTTTATGTGGCTTTTCTTTTACTTTTAGTCTTACAGACTCTACTCATTTCTAAAGTTATTTAGATCAGAACCTTTTCTCCAACCCCTTAGCAATATACAGTATGAATTTAAAATTCATCCATGTCTTTTCATTGGCCTTGAAATCTGCTTTGTTTTCTTGCTGAATAGTATTACATTGTATGGATGTACCACAATTTACCCATTCGTTTATTGAAGGCCATCGGAGTTGCTTCCAGTTTTTGGTGATTATAAATTCCCAATAGTTTCATTGTGAATCATTGAAATAAAAACATATTTAACATTAAGCAAATATTTGAGTATACAATAGTACATCCCTAACATGATATATTAAAAGAGTTTTTGATAGCAATGGAAAAATAAATGTAGAACAAAAAGATTGTATATTCAGTATATTCTCAATTATATGAAACATGAATATATATCTATATCTGGAAGGAAATATAATACAATACAATGTTCATGAAGGTTATCTCTGGGGATTAATAATGGATGATCATTACTCTTTAAATAGTATTACATATTTTTCATGCAGGTAATTATTACTTTTATAATTGGGAAACATAAGCCCAGATTGTCTCTCATCATGAGTCATGCTCTAGATTTTGTAGGGAATTTTATTACCTCTTCAGTTTGTCTGTTTTATTACTGAACAAGTCTAGTTGGGAAGCCCTTTCCTATGTTAGTGTAAAATCTAGCTTTTTGTACGCTCCACTCATTTTGCTCTTGGAGTAACACAAATCTGCTTCTCTTATTGGAATTTCAAATATATGAATGCAATTCAATTTCTATGTTATTTCTTTCCCAGCTAAACATTATCTCAGTCTCTTTGACTCTCATGCGAATTGGTTTATCTCTTACGGAGTAGGTCATTTTCCTACACCCTAGACACTCTATACGTGACTTCATATAATTACCTTTTTCAGTCACTGCAAATCCTCTGGTTAGTTTAAATTATCATTCACAGTGCTCAGGCACTTGTTAATTTCCTTTCTAAGGAAATTTATTTCCTTCCCAAAGAAAATATAAATATTTCACCTGTAGAGAGATATGATTTCTTTAAGAGTTTTGTGAGTTTTACCAGCAATAAATAAGTTCTTCCTTGGTACTTTTTCTTTTCTTCAATGTTATAATCTTTTAATGTGTTCGCAGGTTCTACCAACTTGAGATCCCTGGCAGAGATGTTTTTATTACCGGGTGTGTCTAAAGAAATAAAGGCAGTGTATCTCAGAAAAGTGTATTTCAACTGTCTCCTGGTGAGTGAAATCTTATTAGATGGAGATAGTTTTCTGAGAATGGTTTTAAAAGGAAAGTTAATGGGCCTATTGTCAGCAAGCATAAATACTTCATCCAGAAGACAACGATATATTGTGAGTGGGTTAAATTATTGATTTCTAAACTGAGCTTGGCAGGAACCCCGAGAGTTCCTTGTAGTTATACATATAACCCCTCCTGGGTGTGAGAAGATGTGTGTACAAGGGGTAGCACCTACCTCAAATGGGGCTGCTTCACATTTATCTGTTTTATTCTTTTTGTAATTGGAATTTATCATCAGATTTAGTTGAAGAAATGCAAAAATTATTTTGAAAATCACTGAACCTTTTGACTATTTTGGATACTATTTTAGGATTTTTCCTTATAAATAGTGGGATATCTTTATTAAGTCTCTTGCTAAAGCTGGGATCCTTTGTGACGTTGGGGCTCTATGTGTAACAATTAAAAAAGATGCCACCCACAATAGCTAATGACATTAAATGAAGAAGTAAGGATTAGGAATAGGTAAACTCAGGAACTGTAGGGCCCGGCTGTCATGCAAATGTCCTTGATAATAAAGAAAGGGGAATGAAATTACAGTTCACATGACGGTATAGAGACAGAATTGTTCCTATAGAGAATGCTTTCTAAAGGTTCCCCAAGGCTGTGCAGCTCTTTAAATCAGCAAGCCCTTTTTATTTTCAACCACAGAGTGGAAAAAAAAAGCAACTTCTTTTTTTTCCCTCTTTCAAGAAATCCAAACTATAAGTATTGTTGAGTCATCTTATCTCTCCTTGAGAAAGGAAATGCCATCCCTTTGTAGGTTGAATGTGGACGATTTATGAAGGAAAAAAAAAAGACTTGAGAAATGGATCATAACAGCATGGGATTTAATATTTTCTCCATTTTACAATGTTCTGCCTTGCTTGACATGTTTACTTTACAAACACTTATATTCCTGGCTCAGAGTTGCTCTCTGAACACCATGGTGCATAATTAATGTCAAGGTGGAAGGCGATTATGCTGCAAATGCTGCTCCCTCGGCTCTGAAAAGCATTTTTAAAGCCAATTTAGGTCACACATGGTTCAGTCTCTTAGAAATTTTTCTTAATTATTCAGCTAAAGAGAATGCCTCAGGGCGTTTATTAATAGACATTCCAATGGGTTGTCGATCCTGGGGTGTGTGAATGTGCTGGAAGGAGAGCACAGTATCTCACAGGGTGCAGGGGGGGAGGCGATTGTTGCAGGAGAGAGGAACCCCAAGAAGGTTATTCATTTTTTTAAAGCCTCACAGAAATCTGAGCAAAAGAACAGAGCTAAGAACACAATTTAAATGAAAAGTGTATGAAAAGTTGTACACTGTTTTAAAGAAGAAAACTGTTCTTATTTTCTTCACTCCAGTAAGCTTCTGAGGTTCACAAGGCAAGGAACATGTCAGGCTAGGAACCAGATACAAAATTCGTTTTTAAATAGACCATTTCTTTTATGTTTAGTTGTCATTTGCTGCTCTTTCTGAGCCTGCTGCTGACTGGGGGTTTGCAGCATCTGTCAATGAAGTCAACATGATGAAAAAGTCTCCAGCCTCTTTTGGCGTCTAACAGCCACTAAGACTGGAACAGAAAATAAAATGTCCTGGGGGTGACAATTACTGTTCCTGGTGGAGAAAGGAAGGAAATGGAGATTTCTTTAGGATTTATCATCTGCACAAAGGATCACACTGATTTAGAGCAGGATAGTACTAGATGGCACCTCCTTTCTTCCTTCCATTTCTCCCTTCCCAACTTCATCTCATAATGCACACCATGTTGCCACACATTTCTCTTCAATTATGTATGGACATAAGGAATACTCCTCATATATAATCAGCAAGTGTCTTAAGTAGGTAATTAAGAAGGAGCCTAAGACTGGGCTTCTTCTGCAAGGGACTTGGTGAGGGGGTGCTCCAGGTGAAACCTGGAAAGGAATGAAGGAAGCAGGAAAGTGTGAGGGAGAAAGCCCTGCTAAGATGGGGATGCTGCTCAAGTCCTGCCTTAGCCCAATTCCACAGGGAGCTTTTGACCCTGACACCATATGCTTGTCCCACCTGGAGGCAAGGAAACTAGCATTTTATATTCTAATATTAGTCAGTTGTTGGCTATAGGCTGCCTCCAGAAGAAGAGCATGACCTCTTAAACATTTCTGGGGGTGGGGGTGGTGGCTCCAGCCAGCCTTCTGAGAGCAATTCTCATGAGAATGTTACAGCTGGGAGCAGCTAACAGCTAAGCTCAGAACAGCTGAGGGATAGAGGCATTGTTAGGTAAAGCAAATTTTGCCAACAAGGGCACCAACAGCATCTATTAATACTACACCATGGAGAATATTTGTCTTATCTAGTAATTTGTTTATGACATGGAGATACCAGATCCCTTAGATAAGCTAAGCTGTGAAGATAATTATTGGAGATATAGGGCAGGGGTCTTCAAACCTATGATAAAGGGCCAGATAATAAATATTTTACTTTGTAGGCCAGATGGTTTCTGCTGTGGCTACTTGACTTTGCTATTTTAGTATTAGAATAGCCATATAACAGCCATGTAGACAACATATAAACTAACGAAAAAAGCTATATTCCAATAAAATTTTATTTATAAAATCAGGTGAGGGGCTGGATTTGGCCAGAGGCTATAATTTTCTGAGTCCTGATATAGGGGATAAAGCAGAGAAAGATAATAACTATTTCTAATTCATCTAACCTCCTAAAGCAGCGTTAATTTTTCATATCTAATAAAAAGCTTATAACACATTTTTTAATTTGGGTTAAGAGTAGGCTTTGTAGTTATAAAGATCAGAATTCCATTTTTGCCACTTTCCAGGCTTTCCACCTTAAGGAATTAATAAGAGAATGTATCTAATGCACTTATAATATGGTGGCCATCACTAAGAGCCTAACAAATGGAACTTTGTTATCATATCATTGTTGTTATTTCCCTTGGAATATTGTGGGGTTTTTTTGTTTTTGTTTTTCTTTTTTTTGAGACACGGTCTTGCTCTGTTGCCCAGGCTGGAATGCAGTGGCATGATCATAGCTCACTGCAGCCTTGAATTCTTAGGCTCAAGTGATCCTCTTGCCTCAGCTTCCTAAGTAGCTGAGACTACAGGCACATGCCACCATGTCTGGCTAATTTTTTTAGTTTTTGTAGAGATGGGGTCTCATTGTGTTATCCAGGCTGGTCTTGAACTTTTGGCCTCAATCGATGCTCCTGCTTTGGCCTCCTAAAGTGCTGGAATTACAGGCATGAGCCACCATGCCTAGCCTGGGAATATTGTGTTATAACTACTTCCCTGGCATTCTCACTATTTTTATTCAGTGTCTGATTAACTTATGAGACATTATGCAATTGATAATTAAGTTTTGCAGAATAAATATGGCTGCAAAAGGAAAGGTCTGTTTTGTCACAGCAAGTTGACCCAAGATCAAAACACATGATTTGTGATCTCCTAGTTTCTCCCTTCCTCTTGCTCAGCAGAGATAGAGTGGATAAAGATTTATAAAATAGATCCTTATCTAGAGATGGAATTGATGTTGTGAAGGAATTAAACTCGATAGGAGTCTGGTAGAAAATTGGACATATAAATGGATTCTATTTGCCATAACAAAGAATTACTAGAGGGGAAAAATGAGAATGACCTGAGAGAGTATCTTAACTTGGCCACTCGTATGAGCACCACTTGCCTCAATTACTCACTGAATGCCTGAGTGAGTTTCTAACTCTACTGGGTATAAGTCAAAACAATTTTCACTTGTTTTATTTACCTTCTAATATAGGATGGAGGCAAGCCTTGGATTGGGGGCTTGATTTAAAACAGAACTATCTCTCTGTGTTTCTCAGGCAGGGGGAAAAAAATGTGGGCAAAAATTTTTCTCGCCTCTGAGGAACCTGTTGGAGTTGGCCCCTATTCCAGAGAAGAGGCTGGAAGGCCAGTGCTGCTGATGCAGATGCATTGAGGAAGTGTACTCCTCAGAGGCGAGCCATCTGTCATACTCACTGGCTGGGCTTTCCCTTCCCAGATGACTACATAGTGTTCAAGTTGTACATATAGCTCTGCATCGGCCTAGGGGAAACAAATGGCACCCCTTTGGTAGGTTAAATGGATTGGGCCATTCAAGGGAATCCATTTTATGGAATCATTTGGCTTACTGAAAAGCCTTGTATCACAGGCAAATGAAATCCTATAGCAAAGGAGCCAAGCCTGCATTTTAGTTATTTTTCCAGAAGTAGAGACATTTGTTGCCAGAAAAAGTTCAGCTTTATGATAATGTGGGACACTGGACTTTGAGAGCACTGTACTGGGAGTATCCTTTTGCTTTTCAAATAAAATCCTGATTTCTCCTTGTGGCTGTAAACACCTCAGTCTCATGCCACTTTTCCCCTTGTGTATCCTCTCCAGACTGGCTTTCTCTTTTTTCCTCAGTTCTATCAAGTGTATGCTATTCCTGAGACTTTGCATGTGCTATTCTCTTGCCTGTAACATACTTTTTCCAACTCTTCATGAGCCTAGTTCTTTGTGATCCTTGATTCAGCTCAAATGTTGCTTTCTTGGAGAGTTCTTTGCTGACAAGCCCCTCTAAAGAGGCACCCACATCACTCTGTGGTATGTTATCCTAAATTTTTATCTTTACAGCATTCTTTAGTATCTATCTTATTTATGTGTTTACTTGCTTATTGTTTGATTTTCCCTTCTAAAATATAAGTTTCATGAGAGCACTGTCTTTTTCTGTTTGTGTCCTTAGCTTTTGGAACAATGCTTGATACAAGGTGATGCTTAATTAGTATTTGCTGAAAGAATGGATTAAAGAATGAGTCAGATAATCTGGATAATGTTCAAAACTAGTCCTGTAAATATTGGAAATTTTCATGTTCTTTCTGACTCTCAGTTCCCAAAATGAAGGGTTTGGAATGTTAAAGAATTGATATACTATTTTATTATTCTATGGGGATTTTTCTTTTCACTGACTCCAAAT